TCCCAAGAACTCATAATTGTTTCAACATATGAAAATCAATGTAATATATCATATGAATACAATAAAGAACAAAAAATACATTTTTTTATCTCAATAATGCAAGAAAATCATGTGACAAAATTTAACACATTTCTATGATAAAAACCCTTAACAAATTAGGAATATAAAAGAACTTAATCTGATAAAGCATATTTATGATAAACCTACATGCTCCCTGTGGTCAGAAGCAAAACAAGGATGTCTGTTCTTACTGCTTTTATCTAATATTGTAAGTGAGGTCCTAGCCAGGGCATTTAAGCAAGAATATAAAACACACGATATATAGATAAGAAATAAAAGAGTAAAACAATCTCTATGACTTTTTTTTCTATACAAAAGTCTCAAGGATTTCACAAAAACAAAACAAAACAAAAGCTAAAAACAAGTTCTACAAGGGTGCAGTATACAAAATTAACATACCAAAGCCAATTGTATTTCTATACACTGATAATGAACAATCTGAAAATAAAATTAAGAAACAATTTCATTTACAATGGTGTCAGAGAATATATTAATATAATTTTAAAAGTGTAGGAAGTGTAAGACTTATGTACCAAATACTATAAAACATCATTGAAAGTAGCAAACTAACAAAGACTAAATAAATTTTAAAAACCCTATGTTCATAGAATGAAAGAATATTGTTAAGATGGCAATACTCAAATTGATCTACACATTCAACACAATTCCTATCAAAATCTCAGCTGATTTATTTCCAGAAAGTTGCAAGCTGATTCTAAAATTATCTCACGCCTTCTGCCAAAGTTAAATCAGAATGGATGAAAACCTAAAAGCAATAGCTTAGACTCTAAACTCTTATAAGAAAAGATATGCATAAATCTTCATGACCTTGGGTTAGACAATGGTTTCTTACATATAATATCAAGAGTACAAGTAATAACAAAAAACAAATGTTAGATTTCCTTAAACAAATGTAAAAGTGTACATCAAAGGACATTACCAAGAAAATGAAAAGACAACCTCTTCGCAAGTTGTATAACAGATAAGGGTCTAGTATCCAGAATATATAAAGAACTCTTACAACTCAACAAGAAAACAGATGAAAGGTGTGAATAGACATTTCTCCAATGATGATAGACACATTCCCATAAGCACATGAAAAGATGCTCAACATCATTAAACCCAAACCACAATGAGGTGCCACTTCACCCCCACTAGAGGCTATTATCAGAAAAACAGACAACAGCAAGGATGTGTGGTTATCTTCCAATATATCTGATGTGATTGTACAATGGTGTCTCCACATTGAAAAACAGTATGACAGTTTCTTAAAGCTAGTGTTACCATGCCTGAAACCAGGTGCTACAGTGTGACCCAACAATTCCAATCCTAGGCACATATGCAAGAGAGATGAAAACATATGTACATAAAACGTATCCTTATAAACACTTGTACATGAATAGTCATAGCAGCATTATTCATAATAGCTAAAAAGTAGAAACAACACAAATGTCCATTGATTGGTAAATGGATAAACAAAATTGTTATATATACACAGTGGTGCATTATTCAGCCATAAAAATGAATGAATTACTGATATATGCTACAACATGGGTAGACCTTGAACACATGCTATGTGAGAAAAGGCAGATGCAAAAGACCACAGGTTCTACTCATGTAAAATGTCAATAGCAGGCAAATTCTTATACACACAAATTAGATTAGTGCTTGCCTGAGGTTTGGGGAAGGGAAGAATAATAAATAAGGAGTTTCTTTGTTTCTTTTTGGGTGATGACAATGTTCTGCACAACTTTGTGAATTTACTAAAACCCACTGAGTGGTTTAACTTAAGAGTAAATTTTGTGGTACCTGAAAAATAATTATGGTATGCAAAAATGCATAAGAAAAAAATTATCAAGTTATATTGTCAATGGAGAGAACAAAGTTGTAGGTTAAATAGAATATAGTCCTAGTTATTTAAAATGTTTGCTTGTCCATGTACACATTTATGTATGAAAATGCATAAGAACTAAAGTGATATATGTTGAACTCTTAACAGTTGCTACTTCTGAAGAAGAGTACAGTATTGGGAAGATTTTTAAGGGAGGACTCTATATACTTTTCTTTGAATGTTATATAAGGAGCACATGTTCATATGTTATAGAAAAACTAAAAATAAAGTTAGGTGTTATAAAATATAAACACTATTTTACCCCACTTTAAATGCCCAGTTCAATTCTCCCCATTTTATAAAGTCTTCCCTACTCAGGCCGGGCGCGGTGGCTCATGCCTGTAATCCCAGCACTTTGGGAGGCCGAGGCAGGCGGATCACCTAAGGTTGGGAGTTCGAGACCACACTGACCAACATGGAGAAACCCCATCTCTACTAAAAATACAAAATTAGCTGGGTTTGGTGGCACATGCCTGTAATCCCAGCTGCTTGGGAGGCTGAGGCAGGAGAATCGCTTGAACCCAGGAGGTGGAGGTTGCAGTGAGCCAGAGATCGCGCCATTGCACTCCAGCCTGGGCAACAAGAGCGAAACTCTGTCCAAAAAAATAAAAAATAAAAAAAATAAATAAAGTCTTCCCTACTCCATCATTTACTGATTTGTTTTATCTGCACTCTTAAAACTCTTTCCCTTTATACACTACGTAATTTAGTGCCTTATCATACATTTAACTAAACTGATTACATGGGAGAACCCTTGATAAACTGTAAAACTTAACATAAATGCCATGCCAATACCAATATGTTGGGAAATGTCTTTTGGAATTGTCAGTGTGAAATTAAGAATAGCAAAGCTAAAAATGGAGGCCAAGGTCAAAAGTTAGAAAAATTATGGGCGAGCTGCCAAACCTAAGTCCTTAAAATAATAGTGATGTCACAGGTCAAATGGAAGTTTTATATTTTGGGTTGACATAAAGACAGACTTCAAATATAATAATTTCTGGGCAAATCTAAGCAAGCAGTGTTTGATAAGAAAGTAAGCAATTATAACAGGTCCAGGATTCTCATAGAAAAACAGTAACAACAACAACAACAAAAAAGACGTAAGTGGAAAGGTACGTCCCAAAATAGTCTCAAAGGCAAAGTTTTTGTACATCGTATAGTTTTTATTTTTGCGCTCACATTTTCTCATATGTTACCCTCAGTTTCCCAATTACATTGCAAGATTGGAATATACCAAGATTTGTTGGATTTAGGAAAAATGCTTATATTTATCGTGCAGCCTCTATATGATTAGATTACATACCTGATTAGTTTTATTGATTTAACTGATAGGTACTGAGCAGTTACAGTGGGGTTGAAAACTAAAAATTTACTTTCCAAAAATATTAAGTCTGTTCCAACTAAACCCAAAGTAAATATTGAGTGGTCACGATCACCTAATAAAACGTGTGGTGCCTGTTTCACAGGGGTCATGATAAAGCTGACGTGGAAAACAAAGTAGAAGAGGGAGTTTGTCAGTGCTTGATTTTATCTGACTGTCCCAAACAGCCAAAGTGTCTGACTGAATTTTTAAAATTAATCCTTGTTTCTAACTTTCACTAATGATATTATGATTATTGTCAGTGTTCTAATAGCAGATAATGTGTATTGAGGGTATACCTTGTACTGGGCCCTCAGCAGAACATTTTTATATATAGTATCTCATTTAGTACACCAGTGCTATAAAGTAGTAACTATAATCACATATATTGGACAGACGAGAAAACTGAGGTTGAATGAGTATCAACAACTTGACCATGACCACATAGTAAGTGATAACAACATGACTCCGTTTTAAGCCTAACTCTCCAATTTATGTTCTTTACTTAAATACTACTCTAGCTATACAATACTTAATATCCGAACATCACTCAGGATCCTGGGTTCCCATCCTGTCCTGCCATGGTCATCTCCTTCAGGACCTCATAGGAAGTAATTGTCTAGAGCACAAGGGGAATTAGGGCTTCAGCCTTCAACCCCAATAAAATAACTAGTGAATTAGTCTAGATTCTGCCAGTGACTCTTCTTGAGGAGGCAAATTCTGGGCAAAGTGGTGTCCTTTTGCTTTTTGTCCTGGACCCACCATCTACTTACTGTGCCAGTGCTGAAGAAGTGTGAGTCTAGAAAGAAATGGCCAATCCAAGAGCAAGATGGAGTTTGAGCTAAACACAAAAAGTATCCATTTTTTAAATTTGGCTAAATAACCAGGCAAAAAAATGCCAACATCAACCTATCAAGGGAAATTCTGCAAATAATCTGCTTCTGTGATGACAGCGGATTTGATTAGATGATAAGAAAAGGAAACTTCCAGAGCTAAGGAGAATGAAATCAATTTTCTCCAAAAGATGAAGGTTCTAGAAAGTTATTTCCAGTGCCTCCATTAACCTGGCAGGCAGGAATACACACTTTTAATTTGCCTGGAACTGATGACACCAGGAACAAATTAAATATGTAATCAATCATACTTTTAAATGGAAAAGCAATAGGTTTCTGCTTACAGATAGCTTGAGAGAGAGATCCAGAAGGTGTAGCATTCATCTGAGTGCAAAGCTCACATTAGAGAGAAACTTTACCTTTATGATTAATAAGGAAAATATTTTCAAGACACCAGTTTTTTGTTTTTAGAAAGTGATATAATATAGAAATGAGAGAAAAAGAAAAAGGTAGAAATTAGGTTACTCCTGAGAAATCAGTGTTTATTTGGGCTAAAAATCAGTAACAATGCCAAAGAAAGAAAAAAAAGAATTCACATAAATTGGAAAGGAAATATGGCTGTTAATGAAAAGGAGCACACAAACAAACCTCCAATGCACAAAGCAATGAATCCCTCACTATCCCATATTTCAAATGAACCACTAGAGAGGGAAAAAATTGATAGCAACACTTGCAGCTGAAAAAACTCTTGCAGGGATAAATTATCCTCTTTCTTCATGTTGCATTTTCCCCATGATATTCCTCTTGGTATTAGGCAACTCTTTTAAAAGAAGATACTTGCAAGCACTGACCTCGCCTTTGACTATTTGTCTGTCTCCACAGTTCTTCGCAGATATTACTGAGCATCACCATAGATGTCCTTCTTCACCTCTTTATCCACAACTGAAGTATATCCACCTCAAAGCCTCCAGAAGTCCACACATTAGATCCATCAGCACAAATCTGCAAAAGCCATTTCTCACTGAGTGGATGATGATGCAATGTATTAGTCTTCTATCACCGTCTCTCTGATTATTTTCAAAGACATAGCTACTTATCATTAGTAATCTAGTTAGCGCTAGTAGAAACAGCAGCAGCAGCAAACATCCTATATACCCTCCTAACCCCACCTCATTCTTGTGAGATGTTGCTACTATTTGAATTATTATCCCATTTGTAACTTAACCTCAAATAGGAGATTATGGGTTTCTTTTTCTTTCTTTCTTTTTCCCAATGGGGCTAAATCCAGCAGGGAATCTTCATTAAAATTCACCATAAGGCCCATTTCTTTGCCATTTCCCTTCCCCCAAGTCACATATTCCTCCCACCCTGCTGTGAACTGCTCAGAGCAGAGGAATGACCCGTGGAATCTCATGGTCCTGTGGAGGTCCAAATCAAGCTGCTCCTGTTTGCCAAATAAAGATGACATATATTTACCGTCTCTGGACACCCCTCCAAATAGTAGTATATTAACAACTTTATTTTATTCTGTATTTTAGGAAATGACATCACTTTCCTCATGAACAGGTGCAAATACTGCTGACATTTAGAACACTCCTCAAAGGTAGGGACTAAGGATCTAGGCTTGCATGATTGTTAGTTCTTACTGGAGATCAATATCAGAGGGCATTCTTGGGTGGTTATTATTGTTGTTTGGTTATTGCATTCTTCCTCTCTGTTCTGATGAGACATAACTATGCCAGAGTCATACTTCATATTCATCTATAGGAACATCTGGCCCATGTCTAACATTTAATTTCCACACCATTAGAGTCAAACAATACATGTACATCAGTAGATAATGTAATGCATTATCACACAAGGCAGAGAGTAGCAATTTATTAGCCTAATTTAAAATAGCCTTCAGCAAAAAATAGTGCATCTTAATTCAGAGTTTTGAATGGAATGACATGTTTTCAAGTAAAATTCAAAGGTATATACTCAGACATGCTTTGGAAAAAGTTTCCTACATATATTGTCTTCTGCATTATTCAAGGAGGGAAGATCAATTCTGTTTTTTATGTTCCAAACAAATCTAATCCATAATAATACAAAACAAAAAAAAAAAGATAGCCTTGGGAGAAAATAAGAAAAGGAATTCCTTGGAACATAACTTAGAAATCACAACTTCAGTGTACAGGCTGCTAAGAATCTCTTTGCACATACTTAAAATCACAAAAAATTTTTTGCTTTGAATGTAGCATGAATTTTGTCTCTATTTCCTCTCTAAGACATTTTCATTACTATTTTAGGTTTGTAGACAATGAATATGTAGAGTGTTAGTTTGTCTTTGTAGGAGAATATTATAACTTTTATGAGAATTTAAGTGATGTAATATTAGAAATTAGCTTAAGCTATACAGCTTGCAAAAATCATTGTAATTATTACAAACATTCAAATATCTTCTCAGTTCTTATTAATGAAAACCAACCTCTGCTTTTTTAACACATATATTTGATATAGGAAGATACCCAGTGCTTGTTAACACTGACAAAAACCTTCTCCACTTCCTTAAATAATACAATGGAAATTATAGTATATGTTTAGAGCATATATAGATTAGCACAAATTCTAAATTCTGTGACACTTACCAGCCTCACCAGCATAGTCATAAAGCACATTGCATATGACAATTCAGCCTTAGAAGAGATGGAGAAAATTTGTCATCTTGAGGTCCTCAATAGTACTTAAGCTGCTATTGAGACTTCTCTCAGCAATGATATGCAAGTCCATGGCCAGGCCCTGTGGTGAGTGCAAATGACATAATTTTTATGAGCTCTCAGATGAATGGAAGAAGTAAGGGATGCACATACGTAACCAGAATACATAGTATAAAGTGCTGAATGCCATAAGAAAGTTGGAAAAATGCTGCGGGAGATAAGGGAGAGAGGAACTGTTTCTGGCTATGGGCAACAGAAAGGCTTCAAAAAAGGAATTAGCTTTGTGCTGGAACTTGGAGGACAGGCTACATACTGGAAATGTTCAGTGATACAGCCCAGAAGGCAAGGTCCTGGTTTCTAAACAGAGTCACTGAGGGAGTACAGAATTAATGTGGATCATCCTGACCCCAAGTCCCCACATCCTACTACTAAATTTTCTCCTGATAGTACTAATCCTTAGCTTGAATTCATCAATTAGGTTAGAAATATTTGCTCCAGTTCAGCTCTTGAGATCTTATATCTGAAACCTATATAGTGATTAACATTTTGTTCCCCTCTATCATACTCTGTCATTGTATGTGATCAATTTGGTTTGGTATTGCTACCACCTGTGCTGTGACTAAAGTGGGAGCAAATGCAGAAACCACCCAGGATGTTAAAATTTTGTACTAATCCCTGACTGCTTGAACTAATTCCAGTGAACTTCAACCTTTTACAAGTCAGTTCCCAAAATATATTGTTACCGTTGATAGTCTTCAAATGAGTTTGTGGCTCCCATTGGCATAACTTTATCCCAAAAGCCTTGAGCTTATCATATATCCAGTAATTTTGTCAGCAATCTCAAATAACTATTTACATGTGCCATACCTTATGCCCAATCTGTGGCACAGGGGCAGATATGCAAATTAGGTCTCCCAGTCTTCCAAAGTTTTCTAAAGCTGGGCGTGTATTGTGACCTTGAGTTTCATCTTTCTGATATATATTATAATAAATGTAACAAAATAAATTAAAAATAAGGGTAAAACTTAGAAATTCACCTTCCCAGTCTCCATTCCTCAGCCTCAGTCTCATTTCCCAGAGACAATTACATTTAAATATTTCTAATTTTAGTTCTAGTGTTTGTCACTATAAGTACTGGGCTTTAGATAGCTTATACAGACTCCATTCTACAAAGAAGAGAAATTTAGTTCCCTTACTAGAGTCTTCTCCTATTTTCATTCTGATTTACACTATTTTCAGTTTTTCAAGTGGTTGCCTTCATAATTTTAAATGATACTACTCCTTCAATTTTGAGATTTCGACATTGAAAATCATACAAGATTCTTTCTTCTGCTCAATAATATTGAGTGTCCACATGGATCAAATGCTGCACTGGATTCTAGCAATAAAATGAGTAAAAACAGACATAAATCCTGCCATAGTGAAAATCACCACTTAATGAAAAGGGTGATCAATAATAACAAAACAAAATAAATTGTAAGTATGGCCCAAAATAAAATCATTATGAGATAAGTCATGAGAATTTGTATTAAGGAGGTCAGGGATAGTTTCTCAGAAGAGACCACCCTTGATAAGAAATCTGACCAATGAGTAAGATTTAACTATGTGGAAAATTGTAACAAAAGCTTTCTAAGCAGAGGAACAGCTTGTGCAAAGACCCTGTGGCGAAGAAGTAATGATGAGTGTCAGTGGGACTCAAGTGGAGAAAGTCAAGAACTGCAGAGACATAAAAAAGAAAAGATAAATATCGACCGGCCATTTGGAACTTTGCAGCGTTTATAAAGGAGTTTCGCCTTTATCCTAAGATCGAGGAAAAGTCACTGAATTCTGATCAAATCATGATCAGAATAAGGTTTTTGAGAGTTTACCGTAATTACAGCTTAGTGGATATAAAGAAATAAACTGAAATTTTATTTCTTTCCCTATAGATCTTATTGCTCAGTCTTAACATTGCTTTCAAATTGGCAATAATTTTATTATTTTTATTAGCTTATAACTATACATAAGCCTTCAATATTTCCTCTGTAAATTGAGTGTAAATGTTAAAAACAATAAAAATATCTACTACTCTATGTCCTAGCAATCCCATTCCTAGGTATTTTCCCATCCACAAATGAGTGCACACATCCACCAAAATACTGTGGAAAGATGTACATAACAGACTCATTTATGACAACCAAGAATCAAAACCAAGTCCAATGTCCAACAACAAAAATGGCTAAATTATAGCATGTAAAGAAATACTACACAGCAATGAAAAGAGAATGAACAACTGGTAAACACAATGACAAGGACGACTCTCACCATGGCAGAAATTAGACACAAAATAATACACACCATTGGATTACCTTTGGATGAAGTTTAAGAACTGGCAAAACTAATGAATGAAGAAAGAAGTGTGAATGGTGATTACTATTTTGAGAATGGAAGGGTATGACTAGAAAGGAGCATAAAGACTACTTTTGGGTGCTGGAAATGTTATCTATTTTCATCTTAGTAGTGTTTACTTAGGTGTATACATCTTTAAAACTTGATCAAACCTCCTAAAGATTAGTGAACTTGATACTCATTTGACCACATATATTCTACCTCAGTAAAAAATGTAAAAAACAATAAACAGCATTTAAAATACTAAGATATTGCAAATATGTCATCCAGATCCAAGTGAGATATCTGGCACATATTCATATGTACTCCTGCAAGGAGATTATCTTAAGAGTGAAAGTCAAATTCATTCTTTAAAAAATATTCTATCACTTTCTCAGAATCATGCCATATGGACAGTGAACTTCCAAAGTCTACATGTCAGAAAATGTCTTTATTTCACTCTGACTTTATTAATTGTTTGGCTCCAAATCATTTTCTGTCAGAACATGGAGAGAGTTGTTGCATTGTTTTCTAGAATATGGTGGTGTTAATGAAAAGTTTAAAGTTATTTTGAGTTTTATAACTTTTAAAATTTTATTTGAAAGCTGTAAGAAATTTTTTTACACACAGTGTTCTGAAGTTTCACCATAATTTATGTAGATACATTAGATTTCTACTGCAGCTTAACAAATTACCACAAATGTAACTTTAAAATAATACTCATTTATTATAGCACAGTTTGTGAAGGTCAGAAGTCCAGGAAAGGCCAGCTGAATCCACAGCACAGAGTCTCTCAAGGTTAAAATCAAGGTGTTTACTAAGCTACATTCTCAACTGGCTAGGGAAGCGTCGACTTCCGCACTTCCTCACGTTTCTGGCAGAATTCACTTCCTTGAAGCTGTAGAATTTATGGAAGCTTGCTTTTTCAAAGACAGCCATAGAAAGAGAATCTCTTCTTCCTGTCTCTAGTCCAGGGAGCCTCTTTAAAGGACTTGCTTGATGAGGTCAGGCACACCTAGAATAATCTCCCTTTCGATTAACTAAAAGTCAACTGACTGGGGACATTAATTCTATCTGAAAACATTCCTCATCTTTGCCACATAACGTAACCTAGTATGGGAATGACATCTATCAGAATCAGGGGTCTCTCCCTATATTTAAGAAGAAGAGATGCCATAGGGCATGTACACAGTGGGTGGGATTCCTGGGGGGTATTTTAAAACATTGCCTATCATGTATTTTTCACACAATTCCTTTTCCTTTTTTTCTTTTTCTTTTTTTTTTTTTTTTGAGATGGAGTCTCCTTCTGTCATGAAGTCACCAGGCTGGGGTGCAGTGGTGCAATCTCAGCTCACTGCAACCTCCGCCTCCAGGGTTCAAGTGATTCTCCTGCCTCAGCCTCCCGAGTAGCTGCGTGCGACTACAGGTGCGCACCACCGTGCTGGCTAAGTTTTGAATTTTTAGTAGAGACGGGGTTTCGGTTTCACTATGTTGATCTGAATGGCCTTGATCTCTTCACCTCATGATCTGCCCGCCTTGACCTCCCAATGGGCTGGGATTACAGGTGGGAACCACTGCGCCCAGCCCTTTTTGATACTTTGATAACCACAAAATTCTGAATAATACTAAGCTCAAATAATTGTTGAGTAAAGAAATAAACAGATACTTTACAGCTCCTTTCAAATCTGGAGATGTGAATCTTTACTCTGCCCAAAGAAATTTTCCTGTTGCATCTTCAATAATGTGTTTTACTTTTTTTGTGAACACTTTGATTGATATATTTTAATAAATATTATTCATAGCTCAATATTTTCACCCATTTAAAAAATTTTTTTGTCTTTTTCTTTATGTTCTATATATATGTAGAGAGATATTTATGAATATTTTGTATCACCAACTTTAACAATTTTTGTCCAAGTTGTTATTCAGTTATCCTATCCAGTATTTTATTTTGACAATCATACGCATTTCTAAGGACCAGTTCTAGTTATTTTATCTTTTTCAATTCTGGATATAATGGCTTCTTAGATCTCTCTGAGAATACCAAAATGATCATGTTTAAGTTTTCTTCCTGAATTATCTATTTCTTTCCAGAATCAAGTTTCTTTTTATAAGGCCCCTTGTTGCTGCTTCTACGCATGTATCTGGTGATTCTTGATTATCCACTCACAGTTGTTCATGAACCACTAAGTAATTTGGATATAGTGGATGAGTCTGTCTCCAATGCGCCATGCTCTTTCCATCTTTGTACTTGAGCTCATACTGTGACTCCATCTGCATCTGTTAGGCCTTCTTAGTTCCAAAATTCACAAATAGCTCCCATCTTTTAGTATTCACTTACAATGAATAGCACACAGTACATGGTGTAGAAGAGTTTTTTATTTTAATTTTTAGAGACAAGCTGGCATGTCACCCAGGCTGCGGTACAGTGGACTGATCATAGCTCCCTGCAGCCTCAAACTCCTGGGCTCAAGTGACAATTCCATCTCAGCTTCCCAAGTAGTTAGGACTACAAGTGTGTGCCGCCATACCTGACTAATTTAAAAACAACAACAACAACAACAAAACCCCAAAACTTTTATAGACGGGGTCTTGCTATTTTGCCCAGACTGGTCTTGAACTCATGCGCACTCAAGCGATCCTCCTCCCTTGGCCCCCCAAAGTGCTTGGATTACAGATATGAACCACCATGGCTGGCTTCCAGTTTGGAACCTAATATCAGTTGAACTTACATTAGCAAGTCACTGATGTGGTTTGCCTCTGCAACTTGTGGTCTGTTTTTCTATTATTCTCCCTTGAAATAGTGGGATGACTGCAGGCTTTGTCTACATGGGTAAAGTGTGCATTGTAGCATGACTGATTTTAGTATGTATCAAAAGGATCCAGCCAGTTGGTTTAGAGTCCAGCCAATATGGATGGACTTACTCTGGTGTGTGATGTCATCCATTACTCTGGGAACATATTATCGTTTTCCCCTCTTGGTCAGATCTGCCTTCCTTTTAAAATATCTTGTCTGTTGGATGGTTTACATTAGTCTCTGCTCTACTTTTTCATGTATCAGCACCTGTATTTCTAGTTCTCCTCTGGCAAACTGTTGCATTTCCTTAATGGCAGCTCTCTGCTTGTATCACAGGATAGAAATGGCTATGATTCACATGGGGAAGTGTGTCTGGGGTGCCAAGACATTAGTAGCTCAGTTGTTTCATAGAGAGTATGTGAATTAATTCCTTGATAACTACCGTAGCCCATTTCTGCTCTCACTGCTTGACAGTTCTGAGCATATGGACTTCCTCTTCTCTGCCAGAAAGAAGAGCTTCCACTCTTATTGCATCATTTGACTCTGTTCTGGTGGTTTATTATTAATAAGATTCCATCTCCTTTCTATCTTTCAGGTGAATGCTAGATCAGAAAATTCTTACTAATTGAGAGCAGGACTTAATGCACAAGCAAAACTTATTATATCATGGTTCTTTTAATCAATCTTTGACTATCCAGTTTGCAAACAATAATAAGTACTGTAGAAGATCAAAAGGAAGAAAAAGGTCTCGTCATCCCAGGACTTCGGAATCTAGGAGGATTCAAATAATAATAATGAAGGAATAGGAACATTAAGAGGCACAAAAGAAATAAATGAGCATGTTATGAATCATCCAGAATCAAACTTTTGAACTGACTGCTGCAGAAAAGCCTGATGTGTTTGAATCATGAATTAGGGCCCACGCCAGTGAGGAGCTACCATGACCTCATTCCCAAGCTGTGTGTAGGATAAAGTTGCTAAATCTGAAGGGCTGGTAGCTCAAGAGGATAATGTCTAATAGTGATGAAGCTATTGCTCAAATATGTGGAACGAGTTTCAGGCTCTTCCCAGGTGCTGCCTTGGGCTTCTCTGTAAGTTATTATATGCTTAGTAATTGAGGGTAAGACTTAAAGCACAAGCAAAACTCACTATATCATGGTTCTTTTAATAGAAAAACTATTAAAAAAATAATAAATATGATAAAAACTATTTACTCATAGCATATATATTTCCTCCTGATATCTAATTATGTGCTTACTTTCATTTCCCTTTCTTATTTAGCATAGATGTACAGACCTGGATTTGAGTCCTTCATTCATTACTCATGAACTGGTTAATCTTAGTTGAGTTCTTAAGTCTCCTTAACATCCCACTTATATAAAATAGGGTCGATAGTAGGACCTAATAAATAGGATTGTTTTGAGGAAAGTACACAGTACCTAACAAGTAATAAGAATTCAATAAATGCTAGTTACTTTTACTATTTATGTTTTTTGCCATATTTATTTATTTAATAGAAAACCTATTGTATTGTCAGGAGTAAATATATAATGCACCAGGGCACATTCGTTTTCTGTTTCTGTGCAATAAATTACCACAAACCCAGCAAGTTAAAACAGCACAAATTTATTATCTCACAGTTTCCATAGGTCGGAAGTCTGGACATGGCAAGACTGGTTTCTCTGCTGAGGGTCTCATAAGTCTGAAATGATGGTGTCAACCAGACTGAGTTCTTGGCTGGAGACTCTGGAGAAAAACTGACTTCCAAATTCATTCTCATTTTTGGCAGAATTCAGCTTCTTGCAGTTATAAAACTGAGGTCTTTGTTACTTTGCTAGCTGTCAGCGTGGGGCTGCTCTCAGCTCCTAGAGGCCACCCTTACCATATGGCCCCCTTTCTATTGCAGTTGTTGTGCCAAGTCAAATCCTGTCACATTTCAAGTCTTTAACTTTGTCTTTGTCCTCTAGACCCAGATTTAAGGGGCTCCTGTGATTAGGTTGGGCCTATCCAAATCATCTCCCTTTTGGTTAACTCAGAGTCAACTCATTAGCATCCCAAATTACATCTGCAAGATCTTTGCTGTGTAACTTAACCAGAGTGATGTCCTTTCATATTCAAGCGTTCCTCTTACAGTTAAAGGGAGGAAATTATACAAGAATGGGTCCTTGAGAATCATTTTAGAATTATGACTATCACACAGGGTCTCAGAAATTGCATTCCCCATGACACCAACACTAAAGGAGGAGAAAAACTATTAAACATCCCCTTCCCGTTCCTCCATTCATATCTACCCCCATTACTTTCATCCATGCGCAGCCAAACTCCTCTGAAAAGAGAAAAGCAAGAAATTCCTTATTGTGGTGAGAGGATTCTGCCCTTGCACTTTGTATTGAGGTCTATTTTTACTAGGCTAAATCAGCAGTATAAGGGACTTAAGGTAAGAAATGCTTTACTTTTTCTATTCTTAACCTGAGAATCAACCTGAAAACCCTGATCCCCCTACCAAGAAAAGGGAAATGAATCAAATTTACATTGACAAAGTATCTACAATAGGCATGGCACAAGCTTTACGTATTTATATATAAGTTCACTTCCTTCTCAACAGCATGTCTGAATATTATCTCCATTTTATGGAAGAGAAACCTAGGAGATAAAATAACCTGCTCAAGGCCACAGAAGTGAAATAAAGAAGCTAGAACTTTCATCTAGGCTGAGGATTTTTAAATATGTTAGTACAAGCCCTAGATGTCAGCTACTAAAAAAGACAACTATTTTTATTAGCAGATGTGAGACAGGCATGAGGATGTACAAGTTACTTTGCTTAGCATCATGAGCAAAGCTTCATTGACCTTCAAGGAAAGTGTCTAAAGATCTAAATTTAGTTCCAGGGCTTGCCCTACTAAAGCAGTCATCATACTGGTAAAATTCTCATTCTCATTCATTCACAGACCATAAGCCAGTGTCCCAACTAGGGACTTGAAGATGAGTCTATAATGATGACCAGAGTGGTGCTGAGTGAATTTCATTGCTCCTTTCCTAGTCAAGAAGGCTTAAGTAATAGTGTGAGAAAATACCTGAAACCCCAAACCCTGGTGGAGAAGACACTGCTGTCATGGCAACATTCTAAGTATATTTTATTTATTCATTTTTTTACAGAAAAAATATTTACAGTGGTTTACACAGATTTTCAAAATATGGCAAAATAACATAAATAGTAAAAGTAACTAGCATATATTGAATTCTTATTACTTGTTAGGTACTGTGTACTTTCCTCAAAACAATCCTATTAATTAGGTCCTACTATTGACCCTATTTTACATAAGTGGGATGTTAAGGAGGCTTGAAAACACAACCAAGATTAACCAGTTGATGAATAATGAATGAAGGACTCAAATCCAGGCCTGTATATCCATGGTAAACAAGAAACGGAAATGAGAGTAAGGACATAATTCGATATCAGGAGTAAATATATATGCTATGAATTACTATATACTTGCTAACGGAAGGAGACAAATTGGACTTAAAACTTTCAGAGGGTACAAAGAAAGAAAATTGATATATCACTAGCCTCAATGTCTATTTCTAGTGTTCCTCAGATAAAATCCATTACTCAACTATATATGACCAGTGTGAACATACTCAGTATGACAAGTAAAAACATTCTTTTTGATTTTGGAGTTTTTTTGTTTGTTTTCTGTTTTTGTTTGTTTGTTTGTTTTTTGTTTTTTTGTTTTTTGTTTTATTTGAAATGGGGCCTTGCTCTATTATCCAGGCCGGAGTCCAGTGGTGTGATCATGGCTCAGTGTAGCCTTGTAACCTCGATCTCCTGGGCTCAAGCAATCCACCCAACTCAGCCTCTTGAATAGCTGGGACTTCAGGCAGTATATACACCCCACCACACCAGGCTAAGTTCTAAGCTTTTCTTTTTTTAAAAATTTTTTTTGGAGAGACAGGATCTTACTATGTTGCTCAGGCTGGTCTCAAACTTCTGGTATCAAGTGATCTTCCCACGTCAGCCTCCTAAAACAATGAGATTACAGATATAAGCCACTGGTCCTGGCTAAAAAACATTCCATTTAGAATATTTGTGGAGAGCACCCTGCATTACTATATGTATATCTAAGAGCTAATATTGCTGAACATTTATTCTGGGTCAGGCAGTTTATGTTTGTTTTATCCTTAATTCTTATCATCCTGTGGTGTGAGTACTATTATTATTCTCATTTTATACATGAGCAAATTGAGACTTAGAGAGATGATATATAATAGGTCTAATGTTGCATAGCTAGTAAGTGGTAATGTCAAGATTAAATTTAAGTAGTCAGATAGAACTTGTAATCACTATGCTATGTTGCCTCCAATTAGCAATTTATCTGTAGCCTTACAGTAGTTTATTGATGTTGTTTCTTATAGCATTACTAGATATACATATTAATCCAAAGTACATGACAGTTAAGCAAAAAAGCAATTGTTGGGAGTCAATATAATGGAGTGTAGGCAGAGAAATATTCTATCAGTCCAGGGATAGATTTCCTAGTGCTTGGAGCATGAATTCTCAACATAGGCAATACCATCCAAAAGCAGATGATTATTTGTTCTTAGGAGGCAAGAAAATCTTAGATCTTAAAATAGCTTGTAGACTTCTAAAGGGCCACAGTACATAAATATATACACCACTTATCTCTGATATTCAAGTTTCTCTAGGAGCAGGAAGGTGATAAGGAGAAAAATGCCTAAAAAGGCTCCATAAGGGACCAATTTAAAAAGCAAAAGGTTGAGAAATAACTGTTTAGAGAAATAGATGGACTGCATGTTCTTCGAATTATTTTCATAAATATTATTTCTCTCACCTGCAGATTTGATAGCTACAGAGTATCACCACATTCCAGACTGTCTATTCCCATAGGATCAAAAGTGTAGTTAGGCTGTTACCAGTTGAATACAAATAGTTACGCCCAAACAGGTATCTGTGAAGGGATAGATTTGACATTTTTACTTGATAACTGATTTGCCCAACAACTCAGTTATTAGGTCAGTATTAGGACCCAAATGCCACTTTTGCTAGAAGTCTGTAGATCATGCCAAGATTCTGCTTATAATGGATTCAAAATTACTTCATACCATATAAATACATAAGTGGTCAAAGGTGCAAAATTTTATTCCAAATGTTCAGAATAATGTTAGTTTAAAAGTTTTCTGCTACTGGGAGGGAAACAAAAACCCTCACCTTATTTAAAGGACTAACAATACATACCTCTGAGTAAACTATCCCTCCCCCACTCCCACAACTTTTGAATGTGCTTCTAAAAAACATTTCACTTGTTCATGGAACATCTACCAAGGTAATGGCTTCAGATTTAGATTAATTAAATCATAGCTCTCTTTTCTGGCAAGAATCAGATTGCAGTTTTGGTGGTCCATTAATTCCATCCCCAAAAGGATGATGGAGTAAGTTAATGCAGCTTTCTCCTATCTGGTCAGGGATTTTGCCCTACTTCTAAGCTAATAAGTAAGGCTGCTACTGCTTCATGAATGCAAGTAGAAGACACAAGACTCCTGAATCAGAGACAAAGGACTTTATTAATCATGGCAAAGCAAGCAACACAAGCACCAGCATCTTTGCATCAGTTCCCCCTTGATCCCCATGTTCCATAGGGGTGATGCATAGAGCCCAGGTTGATGCAGTGACTTTGTCTTACAGCCAAGGAACGCTTAGATTGGAAACCTGCTGTTTTATAGCAAGCAGTAAGCAAACCTGCTCTTTGTTCCAGAGGAACACATTATCTTATCCCTTAAGGTTGCTTGCTACAAACACAACACTGAAAAATGACCAGGTAAGAGTCATGAGGGCCTTGAATTCTTTGCGTATTAAGCAAGAAAGCAGGAACAAAAGATACCCATGGAGAAGTGTCTCCCAACATCTCTCCTCTGGAGTTCTCTTTACTCTGATTTCAATGAGATGTGATTCTTCCAAAAAAATAGTGTGGATACATTTCATCATCATACTTAACTCCTTGTCCCAATACCCTTATTTCCTGTGGGCTTTTTCTGACTTAGGGAGAGGAATTTCCTGCAAAGAGTAAGCTGTCATAGTTTCCCACTCTACTATGGTCTGTATTAATTGTCTATATGTAAATTAAATTATTCACCTTATAAAAAGATGCTAGCAAATTTGAGAAAACAATCATCTATATTTGAGTTGCCTCAAAATTTATAAGCCACTTTCTGAGGTCGAGGTGGGTGGATCACTTTAGCCCAGGAGTTCTATACCAGCCTAGGTAATATAGGGAGATCCTGTCTCTACAAAAAATAACAAAAATTAGCCAACCATAGTGTCACACACCTATGGTTCCAGCTACTTGGGAGGTTGAGGTGGGCATATCACCTGAGCCTGGGAGTTTGAGGCTGCAGTGAGCTATGACTGCACCCCTGCACTCTGGGTGACAGAGTGAGACCCTCTCTTAAAAAAAAAATTAGAAGCACTAAAAGAGTAGTTAAAGCATGTTTTCAGGAAGCTGGACAAGGTAAATTCTAAACTCTCAACTTGGGTTTCTTTGGTATGCTTAATCGTTAGTACCCATTATAAACTTACAGTTATTTCTAATTGTACTTACCCACACAGTCTTTTGGAAAATGACAATGCTACTCAGTAGGAAGATAATATTTATTGATACTAAATTAATATTGTTGGAATAATCTTTTCATCAATATTGCAATGCCCTCTTTTCCACAAATAGACATATTAACAGAGCCCTATTTTCCTACAGAGCATTATCAATTCTTATATATTGAATTTTTAATTTAAATAGATTTATTAACAGTTTAAACATAAATGACTAACAAAATAATCAAAAGAATTAGTGTCTCTAGGAAGCAAAGTAGGTGAAGAGGAAGTTACAATACATTTTATTTGACTCCATGCAATATCTTTGCAGCAGGGTATAGATATTTTAAGAGGTGTGTCTTGAGTCCAAACAAAAAAATACAAAGGACTCTTGCATCCCAGGAGAATTTATATTTAAACTAAGCTATTTGTACTGGTTGCCCAAGACATATTTTAGCACAGTGTTTTTGTGGCTCTCATTTCTAGAATGATTTATTTGCGCTTTGCCATGTGTAGCTAGGTTCTGGTGAAATCAGATGATCAAATATTAGCATCTTACTCAGTTTGTGTGTTATAGACATGGCCTTATGTACAAGTTTGCTTTTCTTCTTTTTGCACTGGAAATTTTGTATTCTTTCCTTGATATTATAACTGCATTGAGCTCCTATTTAGAAATAATCTATGGTCAAGAAACCAAGGATTTAAGTTCCAAAGCACATTAGACTCATAAAACTGGTATAGTCAAACACCTGAATCCCTTAGATTAAAAATATAAAGACAAAGAGAAGGTGCTTAAGTTAAAACTGCCTTGGGGCACCAGCAAGTTATGGGTTGGTGGGTTTTATAAGACTACTTACTATGCCATTCAATTAAAAAAAAGAGAGCAGTTACCATGGCAACACCACATCTAATGCTGCTTATGCTACCTCTGAGATACAAAATACCTTCTTCCAGGGACACATTGACCAATGCAGCCTGTTATGGGAAGTTTTATATGCCTAACATTAGCCTGGGAAGAGAAAAACTGTATTTCAAGCATATAAGGAATATACAAACACACACACATATCTTAGTTTGCAACATTCAAATATCAGAACACATTTTAACTCATTTTCTTTCTTTTCCAGCATTTTTAAGGATGAAATTGTTTTTCTAAACTTCAGAGAAAATAAAATTCGTTTAAGAGAAACATGTATAAATAGTTTTGCTGATATATGGGCATAGAAGTATTTTTAATTATTCCATAAGAGCTACCAAATATGTATAATTTTCTATTGGAGTAACACTTTGAGCTCCTGACTATAAACACAGAAATTTGGATATTATTCATGTTTCAGTAAATTATATATTAACTCCTGGCCGGAAAAATATGTTAAAAGTCCTATTCATTAAAAAAATATTAAACCTCTTAAATGAAATAAAATAATTATTTAAGGAATTAAAAAATAGTTTGGCTAAATAGTAAAGAATATGGCCTCCATTAATCTCACAAAAAGAAGTTAAATAAATATCAAAGAAAAATATGAATACATAATAAAAACAAAACATTTTGTTGTAGACGATAATGCCTTTTCTATATTTATCTCTCAGGTGAACTTTAAGAAAGTGAGTGGGATGCAACAGATTCTAACTTTTTTCTAAACAATAGGCAAATATGCACCAATAAGTATTTTCTTATTCAATGGTGTTTTTAAATAGACCCACTGTCTTAATGACTATCCAATACCGTGGGGTACTGCACTCAAATCCAATGGCCACAGCAGAAACAAATACCTAACAAAGGCAGAAGTTATATATCAGATACCTTATCTGTTTCATATATACTTCTATAGTTACCAATTTGACATTTACATTCCTACTCACTTCTGAAAAAAAGACTTAGTATAGTTGTTGCATGAATATTAGTGTGCTTTTAATGCAAACGTGGTTTATAACCCAAAAGTTTAATGCTTGCTCGGAACTCAAAGGTAGACTGTTATCAATGTAAAAATAACTTCTTTTTTAACAAAAAAAGTAAACAAAGTAAAAGTTTGTTGGAAAGTAAAAATTATTGTTACTTCAATCACAAAATCATATTTTCATGCAGAAACAATGTAATAAATACAGTTTAAGCTCCCTGGAAGGCTCATAAAGCCTATTTGATCTAGGATATAACAGAACTGCTTTAGACTTGCAATAAAATATAATTGGCTATGCCACATATATAATCAAAACATAAAGCTGAAGAATAAATCATTTGTATTACAAATGCTAATATTTGAGAAATTAGATTTTATTTCAGCAAAATAATAGACTAATTAGAACTTTTTGGAGCTTTGAAGAAAACTTTAGAATCCTTTGAAAAAATTATTTATTCAATAATTATTCAGAGAGCACCTACTCTGGGCCATGTATTATTCTAGAGGCTACAAAAATAACAATATAGATAAAATTTCTAAGACCTTATTACAATGGCAGAAATAAATAATGAAGAAATAAACAGCAATGAAAACACAAAATAATTTTCATTGTCACATATGCTGCAAAGTAAATAAACTATATGGCATGATAGAAAGTAACTGGGGAAGGCCACTTAAGACGCAGAGAACAGAGAGATGATTGTTGAATTAAATGTTTAAAAGATAAGCAATACGAATTATAAAAAGAAACATAGAAACCAATTTCTTGCAGTGAAGGTCCTATTTGGGATGTCAAGATGATAGAATGGGAAGTTTCAACCTTCAACTCTCCCTCCATCCCCAACCCCCACCCAGAAACACTGATTTTAACAACTACATATGATAGCAATGCTTTTATGGTAGCCCAGTCATTTAGTTAAAAGGTTCCAGCACCTCAATGAAGTGAAAAAAACCTGAAGAATAAATACACTAAGGGGAGTAAGAATAGCTTCACCTTACCCATATTACCTCTGCCCAAGTGCAGCACAGCTCAATGCTAAGAGATTTACTCAGCCTGTGATTTCTCCTAACGAGAAAAATGGAGATTGAAATGAGTACCTGGCTTCCCCAGTCTTCTGGGATGCTATCCAGGAGGCTCACTTCTGTTTCACCCCACCCAAAACACAGGGAATACGCAGAGCAAAAACATCTGGGGGCAGCTAGGAGCAGGGACAAGAAGAGAGGCATCGTGGCAACTGGCACACAAATCTCAACAAGCTGCAGATCCTACTGGCTGGGGTGAAGACTCTGCTCGGATCTCCAAACGCGAGTCTCATAGGGTGTCTCAACTGTGAACACCCAACAAGCTGACATATATGCCCAGCACTCCACATGCACCACTTGCTGTGGCTGGCATCCTGAGCACACCATAGACATCAACATGTATGTACTCCCCCCATGGAGAGTACACATGAACTACCACAGATTGCATGTGAGCTTCCACACAAAGGACACATACTTTAGCAGGCAGCTCTGGTGGATCAGGAGAAAGTGCACAGCCAGGAATCTTCCCGTCACTGCCCTAAGAAAAATAAACAAAAGGCTCTCAGAGTCCAACCTGCTTTGTGGGACTGAGAAAGCACACAGTTCTAAGACACCTCCCTCACCCCGCACCCCGCCCCACCACCACCACCTCTGCGAAGGAACAAGAGAAATGGGAAAGGCACATTCATAGAAAGGTCTGAGAGGCCGGGCGTAGTGGCTCATGCCTGTAATCCCAGCACTTTGGGAGGTCGAGGCGGGTGGAAATATGAGGTCAAGAGATTGAGACTATTCTAGTCAACATGGTGAAACTCCATCTCTATTAAAAATACAAAAATTAGCTGGGGGCGGGGGGTGGGGGGTGGCACGCGCCTGTAGTCCCAGCTACTAGGGAGGCTGAGGCAGGAGACTTGCTTGAACCCAGGAGGTGGAGCTTTCAGTGAGCCAAGATCGTGCCACTGCACTCCAGCCTGGGCAACAGAGTGAGACTCTGTCTGAAAAAAAAAAAAGGCCTGAGAGACCCCCAGAATCTCTAGCCAGGCTGACTGATAAAAGTTTTGTGGTTTTTTTGTTTCTTTCTTTGTTTGTTTGTTTTATAAACTAGTTAGCTAGACTGGAGGATGTGATTGCTCCTTCAACTGCAGCAATGAAAGTCTTCAAGAAACATGAAAGGAAGACGGTAACACAAAGCTTCTGGGAACATAAAAAAAATCAAAGAAACATGACACCATGAAAGGAACAAAACAGCTGAATGGCTGACTCCAAAGAAATGTGGGTATGAATTGCCTGACAAAGAGGTCAAAATAACTGTCTTTTAAAAACTCAGTGAGCTACAAGACAACAACAAAAAAAACACAGTTAATAAAATCAGGAAAGTTATGTATTAACAAAACTAGAAATTCAAGAGAGGTATAAATCATAAAAGGGCAGAAATTCTAGAGCTGAAGAATAAAACGACTCTACTGAAAAATTAAGGAGATCGAAACAGCACAATGAAGTAGTAGAAAGAATAAGCGGGGCGGAGCTTGCAGTGAGCTGAGATCCGGCCACTGCACTCCAGCCCGGGCGACAGAGCCAGACTCCGTCTCAAAAAAAAAAAAAAAAAAGAATAAGCAAACTTGAAGACAGATAATCCATTTCAAATTATCCAGTCAGAAGAACAAAAAGAATAAAAATTAGTGAAAAAAAATACTTTGAGATTTATGGGACATCACAAAGCAAACTAGTATACACATTAATGAGAGTCCAAAGGGAACAAGAGAAAAATATAAAGGGGT